CGTATGCTCCACTAGGAACCCAAAGGACAAATGATAATATGAAATGTATTGGTTCTCAACTGGTCGAGTATCCGTCCAACCTACCACAATTTACACAGCAGTAATTACAGGAAACCAGAGAAAGAAGAATGGAGATAATGATCATAACTGTAAACAGCAATGATAAAAATAGTGAAGTAAGTAGGAAAAACTTGAGAAAAGGGAGACAGAATAATAAAATGTTAACCATTTAGTAAAACGTATGGTGTAGATGAAAAGCTTCACTCTGACTGATGTTGAGTTAGATCACTCTAAATCATTAAACTTTAATTTCCGTTACTCTGGTAACCCCAATCTACAAAATCCATTATCTTAAAAGTGTGTATGCCACTTCAGTGAGAAGTTAAAAAGTTTATCATTTCTTATGGGGATGACTTTGAAGGCCAGCCTAGCAACTACTGAAATGACCAATCAGGCCTTGGTATTTCGCCTGGAAAAGTACTTTCTCCAAATAAATGAAGGGATGTAATTGGCTCTCTCTCACATCAATTTGCTAGGGTTGGGCTTTAAAGTCACTCTTTATTATGCCATCAGACTTGTAAAGTATTGATGTCAAGCCACTTTTAAGGCGCATCCAATCTTCCTCGTCAGCACCATTACCAAATAAAGTGATATTATAAAATTATATACACCTGCCTAAAGTGAATGACCTTTTACCCTGTTCTGTATTGATTTGTTGAAAAAAGCGTACTAATCACTGGACTCAATTTCATCTAACCAGCCTTACTTTGAGAATACAATGGTCACATGAGGTGAAAATGTTTATACGGTTGAAGTGTTCAATGTTATTATTTACGACCATCACTTAATTCTAGGTGGTCCTGTGATGTCATAGTTTATACATCATGTGAACTTTTTATCACGGTACGTGTGATTAACAGACTGTCATTCTTAATGATATTATTATTTCTTATCATTTCGACTATCTAAGAGAGCCATAGTTTGGCAGACTGGTATTGATACTGGGTGATGATTGAACGTGAAATGAAAATTTGGATTGCGATGGGATTCGAACCAGCAACCACTGGGTTCCCAGCCCGATGCTCTAGTAAGTATGTATGAACACTCACTTAGATGAAGTGTAAAAGGACGTGAATAAGAAAATCAGAAGGCAGAAGTAGAAGAATGAACAGTAATTCTAATCACTCCCTGTTGAATAGCAGTGGAGCCCAAAACATTTCTTATTCGAGATTGGTCAACAAGAATTACCTACAGCCCAGTGATTGATGGTTAAACTGAGGTTCACTTCGAAGACGAGAGACAATTATCCACTTGGCTACCTAGTCATTGGATAAAAATTGATGAAGTTGATCGCCTGGAGATGACTAGACTGTTAGTTATGCCTATTCTAAGACTCAACATCAACATATATACCTCGAATTCTATTCTCACCGATGACTTGTTTTAAAGTTAATATTTCTACACTTCAGAAATATACGTTTTTAAGCCAGGTCATTTTTGTTCTTACTATTACTGGGCTCATGTGTTGTGTAGTCAATACCAACTCACATATTCCAATAAATTATCAGTATGTTGTGAGAGATGATGATAGCACTTTCCATATGATTATACACTTGTGGTCTTAATAATGGGTAGTAGTTAGTAGTGGAATCCAGGAACAATACAACTCACTAGCCCATTGAGCTGATGAGTGCAAAATGGAGCGAGAAGTGTATTTTGGATTTCACTGCAAGCCCCTATTCATTAATACTATCGAAGTGAAGTTGAGACATCCGACCAGAAGTCTATATATCGATGGTGATCCATCAATTTAAATAGCGACAGGAAACTACAGACAATAACATCACTGCTACAATTCTATTTAACCCGGTTGATCATAGTATCCTGCCTTCTTAAGGGCTGAATATGCTGTAAGTTCACTATTCAATTGTTTGTAGTTGTTTTTATACCTGAGCTTGTAGCGCTATCATGAATTTTGTTGTTATCGATAGGTTAGTTCATTAACACTGATGTAATTTCAAGAGTTAGACATCTTTGCCCAGATTTTACAAGCAGTTTGGTCACGAAAATCTAAAAATTACTTTCCTTATATTTTCCTCCTGAAGATGAATTCCAAAAAGACTATTAATCTAATGTTAGTTCACTTTTGTCGGTAGTTGATGATATTTCTAGACATTCTGTCAATTTCCCTTTATTAAGTTAACACATTTCTTGACATTTTAATGTCATTCTTTCATTGATAGTAAAATCAGGATAGTGCCAAACACTTAACGGTTATCAGACATGGGTTTTACAAGTAGAAGATATGAAGCGATTAGATGGTTTGGATCATAAGTATCTTTGTAGCATTGCTCGCGTTTGGCAAAATCACTGTCAGCAATCTTGAGGACAAGAGAAGAGTAATCGAAAAGATAGATGAGTCGATTCATGAGGTTGTGAACCACGATCGACTGAGATGGCTTGGACATGTACTGTGCATGCTGAGCCACCACCTACATTACCGTGCAATTCTATAGGAATTTGGATTAGGTTGGATGAGGTTTCAGGGTAACCAGACAAAGACGTGACACTATCCCATGAAGTCCCTTACTGCTTATCTGAGACATGTGAGAAAATGTAAACCACATGGGTGGGGTCCCCGACATGGCTGGAATTTGGCCACACTGGGGTAGATGCGTTCACTCTTGAATATCTTGTAAAGCTTGAATATTCGCACTAACCCTTACCTTCAAATTATTTATTCTCTCACGATACTTTGTCTCCTTTGATATCACTCTTTTTCTACCTATTTGTTCATTGTATAATACTGTGAAATGTGGCAACTCGAGTCAATACACTTATGTGTGAGGTTCTACGTTAATTTTATTTGTCTGTCAAACAGTTAATCGAGGTTACTGCTTTCCGGAATTCACCCTTTCACCTAAATTATGACAAATCCTTACGCCTTTTGTGATTCTAATGATAACCACATGGTACAAACACAACCCTTTAAGTACATCCCCTTCCACCTTTATTTTGTCAGTGATAATTCGCACATGCAAATACCCATTAAATGGAAGAGTATGTTTTCAGTAGATAGCTTCAGTCTTTCATCTTGAGAAGTCAAACAGTTTATTGTGTGTGAAAATCACTTCCGAGGCACTTTGGCCTCAACTTTGATACTCATGACTTTTAGCACTTACTGGTAAGGAAATCCACATTGCCTTTGAGATTAGATAACTTTTCAATGGTAGCCAACTAGGATTTAGATATGAGTAGAAGTAAGAGGTTCATCGACAGTCGAGCTATATTTTACTAATGGAAATCACTAAGTCTAAGACCTGAATATTTAACGTGCAGTGATGAGCCAGGTGACCGATGAGGTTTAAAGTATAATGCTCATGAGATTTCATACAACTTATGATTCCCATAACATTCATAAAAAACAATACAGACTTATACTGTCGACATATGAGTGATACATTTTTAGTCTTTGATGAGTGCTTATGTATTAATTCTATCCTGAACCGTTTCAACAGTGCTCATCCATCAATTCATTTTACATACAAAAATGAAACCAATGATTTGATATATTTCCTTGATGAACTAACGACAAGAAAAGAAGATGGTTCTATATTTAGAAGTACATGTAGAAAACCGACGTCTAAGGCACAGTATCCACACTTTCTCAGCTTTCCGCCGATGAAGTACAAACCCAATGTAATCGCATGCCTAGGATTTACAGTCAGATCAATTTGTTCCAAGGAATGTGTAGAAAAAGAACATCCATGATACTCTAACTGGAAAGGGATAAGTTTGTCAAAGCTACCATCATTTACATTGGTCCTCAACGAAAATTGGTGACAGTGAAGAAGAAGCCTTTGTTTTTATGTATACAACTCAAAGGAGAAGCTCCAAGTGACATCCTATCACAACACCTAGCTAAAGCAGTCAATAGGATGTTTTATCCAGGTCGGGTTTGCAAGTCTTTCAGTAGTCGGCCGATGTTCAGTTTGAGACTGTCCCTGTGGAACAAGTTACATAAAAAATATGATTAGACGGGTGCATCTTGAGATATGAGAACATTTACCGGCTTGGTTCGGAAACATCCATCCCATCACACCTAGTAGACACACAGATACCAATGAAGCATTTAGCACATATTTTGTGCCAGGTGAAGTCCGCCAACGCCCGCTAAACATAACTCAGGCTGTCACAATAAAGTTGGTCAAACCTGAATTTTGCATTTAGAAAGATTATGCTCAAGCGTTACTCCTTCTATGGTCTTCAGTAAACTAAAGGCCATTCATGTCTTCGTTATTCGTTGTCTTTTTGTTCACTCTCACAGTACTCATCCGTCTATGAGTCATCCTAATGTTGACTAATTTAAAAAAGAAAAATCAATTTCCTTACAATCTCTAAATCTCACTCCAATTTGAAAATGTACCTGACCCTAACTTGGCTTGAGTTCACGCCGTACAAAAGCACCTTATATTTCCAGGAACTGATGAGAATTTATTGACAAGCATAATAATAATTATGGCTATCGTGACCAGGTGACCTAGTGGGTAACACTCTGTGGTTTGGGGCAGCTGGTCCCGAGTTCGAGTCCTGGTGGGGATAACATCACTCACTGGAAGGCAGGTACCTTCAGCGACCGAGTCCCAAACAGGAAGAAACGTAAGTTTTGGATCCTATTGCTAGCCACCATCTATCAATAATATTATTATTGTATCAAGTTGAAAATTTAATAGAATTGAAGGCCACAGGCTTGTTCAAAATACCCAAATACACCACCAGACTGTATGTAGCTCATTTAGCTCTCACAACTTTAGTACTGATGATAGTTTATAATTCAACTGAGCAATATGACCACTGGATTAAATGCTTTTCAATTCAACCAACTTCACGTGCTGATAAATCTTTGTTCAGATTAGGCTAATCATAAATTAACAAGCTAAAACGATATACAAAAACGACAATAGCTTTATCAAGTGAATCAATATTTCTCCAAAACTTACATTTAATAAACCTTCTGGTTTTTCAACCTCTTCATTTGATTTATCCAAAAGTAGTTTAGTGTTTACACAACCCATAATTATCTACTCTTATACACAATTAAAAAAAGTAATAGAATTCCAAAATTATCAATGCAGAAATTGAAAGTTTATGTAGAGTAAATAACCATTTTTTTGCGTAGTGAATCCATGCAGTGAACAAGACAGATAATGATAGATATTTAAATTTCTTCTGCCATGTTGAGTAAAGAATTCAGTGACATTCAGTCAGGTTGTTGATTTCGCACTTTGTCAAATACTCAGATATGCAATTATCATCGTCTGGGTGTGCAAGGTATACCATTGTAAAACAGTGAGACCAGAAGTCAAAATATATCCTCCCGTGATTAATTCTTGGCGTAAAATAAATCTGACCAATTAAACAAGAAACACATGGCATTATGAAAATTCTATTGCTGATTGGTTGATTGAAATGTCATACTGACAAATAGCCAATCAAAACTAAAGCCCAATTATTGTGATTGATGTTTAAAGAATGAGCTAAGGCTTTTTGAAATGCATTGATCAAGGTCAACGAATAAATGAACCATAGGGCTACAAAAATGAACCTTTAGAAGCAAATGAAATAATAATTATAACTGCTCAGCATTTATGCGCACAATTTAACCTTGTAATGTGTGCACCCATTGTCTTACTGCCTGGTTCACTTCACAAAAATCCAATCAGCACCCAGGAAGGAATTATAATGCCATCATTTAAACAACATAACGAGAAGACGAAGATTATCCAAAACAAGTGATGCATTGGCGCTAAGCATTTCGAACAATTTGATCGGATAATCTCCGTCTTATTATTATTATTATTTGTCCCTTGGGTTCCTAGTGGAACATATGGCTTCAGTACCACTCACCACTTCACTCTCTCCTCTACAGTCTTTTCAACCTCACTCCACCACTCCCCACAAGCCTTCATTTCTTCCTCACACCATCTCCTCCATATCACCCTCACCTCGGACGCCCAACTCGTCATTTCCCCTCTGAGTTCCACTCAACAGTCTGATGTGGCACATGATTTCCCCAAATCGTCTTCTCAGTGTATATACAATCCAATCCAATCCAATCCAATCGAATCGAATCCATCCCCACTTCCTTCTGCATATTTGTTGGGCGATACCTTCTTGATTGGTTCGTTGCCAGCCAACTAGAGTGAGTTCCTTGTTGTTTGTTCTTTCTGGCTATCCATCTGGTCTTAAGTGTCAGTATCGAGTGAGTGAGCGAAGGCGGTAGCTGTTAAAGAATGTGTGTAGTTTGTTGGAAATGGTTTTCGTAACGTGTTGTCAAGTCTCTCAACCATCACATGGAAGTACTGATTTGACTGAATTAGTGTTGAAAATCCGGATGTTGTTGATGCTTTATGTTGATTGCAGTAGAGTAGAGTAGAGTAGAGTAGAGTAGAGTAGAGTAGAGTAGAGTAGAGTAGAGTAGAGTAGAGTGCAGTAGATCTCCAAACTGATTTCATTATATTGCTGAAATTTATTAAGGGGGCTAATTGTTTCAAATCTCATCACTGTTCAAGCTTGAATGCGCCAGTAAATATAACCTGAATAATTTAAAACCATTTGTGAATTTTTGATATGTAGTAGAAGTGAAGTGATGCTCTTCATGAAATTTCTGTTACTTGCTTTGTTTCAATTCAAATTAAGACCAATTTTAATAGGAAACTCAACTCTCAGAAGGTTATATTTTCTAGACTTTTGATATATACCTGTAATACATATGGGTGAAATCTTGAACAATAAATGGTCTTGGAACTTCACCCTCAATGATCGCTTGGTTCCTCGAAAACAGAAAAGAAGCGGCAAATATGATAAAGGTTTATTGTCCAGTTGAATGTGTACAAACATTACCGATTTATAAACACTTGTTGATGGCTTTAGAAAGTTCTACACTTTTCAAGAGGTCTGTTTAATCAATCTGAGTCTCACACGTATGGTCGCATGCTTCTTCTAGAACTCTCGATATGTCATGATTGGCTGTGAAGGCTTTCCAGGGATTACCGAGCTTCTCTGAGGAATTTAGACGATATTGTCGCACTCCATAACACCTACCCCTATTAAAAAACTACGTGTAAGAGCGTTGCTTGAGATTCACCTAGAGCTTCTTTATGAGTTCCTGGACCGAGTCTGACGCTGTGGTGAACCAGCAGAATTTTAGCAATTCACCTTGTGGTTAGAAAGTCGTGAATCGTTTGATGATTGTTATGAACTGTCCAGTAACATATTGAGTGGTAAGCTGACGGGAGTATCATTTATACTGTAGCTATAACGTCTTGGTCTTAATTGATTTACATGTCTCCTCTAGATTTATGGACCAACTTGCACTTCGCAAAGTACTCCTCCATTTTTTCCCTACATTACCCATTTCCCACAGATTTTTATCCCTGTAGTTTCTGGTCATAACATTGTCACCAGGTTGGAATTTTCTGCGTTGCTATTGCCACTTGCTTATTTCTGACTAAGTTGTTGGTAGTATATACGCAAAAACAGTGCTTATTCGGCGACCAAACATACCCTCTGCAGGAGGTTTGCTATTTGTTTTGTTGGGCTTCAGAGTGCTTCTGTAGCTTGTAAGGAGTCTGTGCATAAGATTTCTTACTGATCCTTCACCTTCCCCTTTTATTAAAGCACGTTTGAACGTGTCTACAAATCGTCCTACCTGGCCATTTGACTGTAGGTGATGAGGTGGTGATTGTAAGTGCTGGGTTGCATTTTGTCTGCAAAAGGCTGAAAATGCAGTTGAAGTAAATTGTGTGCCATTATCAGTTACTATGGTTTCACGGAAACCGAAGCAGTTAAACAAAGTAGTCAATTTAGTGATAGTAGCTTCCGTCGTGCATTGTGGCATGTACGTGCGTCGACACATTTTTCCTAGTATTGGCCCTGCAAAGTCAACATGAATTCTCTATAAAAGGTTTTGTCAAACTTCCGTTTCAGCTTTTACGGCTGCAGTCACAGTGTTTTCTTTTGGTGAGTGATGAGAACTGATTAGTCAGGAGGGAGCATCCTCCCGGTCGAAATTATCTGTAGCTTAGTAGTGAATGCAAAAATCATAACTCAATAGTGTGATAGCTCACCGTTGCGAGCGAGCCCAAGTGTAAACGTAGACACTTTTGAACCACACACTGTGAATAGAGGTTTATGATTCGTCAGTGAGGTAAACTGTCGTCTTCCTATCATTTTCTGAAACTCCGTGACTGAAAAGACTTCTTTTTCAATCTAACTACAGCTGCGTTCTGTGGGCGTCATTGAACGGGAGGTATGTTCGATAGCCTTCTAGGAACTATCTGGTAAAACAATATCAATACCATGATTTGAAGCATCAGATGCAACCATAACGGGTAGTGATGGGTCATAGTGAATGAGGTATACCCCTGAGATAAGTAGACTCAATTTTACCGAATGCCTGCTGGGAGTTAGTTAACTAATTCAATCTTGCATTCTTCGTTAGTAGGACATTTGAAGGGCTGAAAAGGCAATGAAGATCGGGTAAGAATACGCTGTAATGACTAACTAGGTCCAGGAACATCTTTTGGATGTCACATATGTTTTATTGCACCTCTGTTGGCTGGCTCCGAGTGTTTTCCGTTCCTGTCTATAATAAATCCGAGGTAGTTAAATTTTTCTGCACAAAAGCTGCATTTATCTGGTCGAAGCTGAAACCCTTATTCCACGATGCGCTTGAAAACTAGGTCAAGTTTGGGCATTAAATACTCTTTGCTCTTCCCCATAATGATTACCCCATCTAAGTACGCTGCTAAACCAAGTATATCGTACAGTATCGTATCCATTACTTCTTGGAATATTACTGGAGCTGTTTTCATACTGAAAGGAAGACGATTATATCTGAATAGACCCTTGTGAGTATTGATAGTCAGAAGTTCCTTGGATTCCTCCGCTACCGGAATTTGTATATATGCTTCGGGAAGGTCCAACTTCACAAAGTACTTAGCACCATTCAGTTTTGTAAATGGATGCTCGGGTACTGGCAATGAATGTTGATGATCTTCAAGAGCATCACACCACTCCTGTATAGTAGTCTGCACACAGGCGTATAGTTCCATTTGCTTTTTTCACAATAACAAATGGAGCTGCCCATGACTAAAATCTACTGGCTGAATTACATTTCATGACTGCCTTTTTGGCCGAAATACAAGCTTAACTTCTGGACGGAGCAGAAGGACAGCTTTGAATTTTGTGCATTCTCCCAGGCCACCAAAGAATACTGTGGAATGTCTCAGTCGTAACTCATCTCATAGTTTCAAATGGATATGTGATGATATGACAGATTTGGTTGTGGATAAGGTTTAGAGGTTTTTCGAACACCTTCAGTTTTTCCATCCAGTTTAAGCCAAGAAGTTTCAAAGGTGGTCGATATGTCAGGTATAGTATCCCATTAGACGTCTCACCGCCAAACAGTACAATGAACTTCACCAACAATACGTAGCTGACCACCTGATACATTGCGAGCTACCTGAGTAGTCGGGCAAATTTTTGATCGAGTTATTCGCTGCCATGTTTTTCTGCTGATGTGTTATGTCGGAAGCTGTATCTAGCTGTAAACGAACCTACTGTTCGTTGATTTTTTTACGGGTATGTATTTTCTTCGTGAATATGATTTGCTTCTTTATAGTGATAAAATTGCGTTTGGTTTGAAGTTTTATGTTGATGCCTTTTTGAGTACAACTGGGGTTGAGTTCGGCATTCAACATTGCAACGGTCCTCTGTATGACCTCATCGTGAACACTTCATGTATCGATGGTTCTTTAATGGGCGAAATTCCACAACCAACCACCAAAATACCAACATGCTGAAGGTGTTTTCAGGCTACTGTTATCCCTTTTTACATGGCCAGTAGCTATACACCATTTCTGACTGACTTTGTTAATATAAGCCGAATGATTTACTCTTTCAACCTTTCCCGAATCATGCTTCAAGTTCATCAGTCTCTAGCACTCATCTGTGATTTCCTGGAGTGCTACGTTCGGGCACTGTACCATCTCAGATGAAACATAAGCACATA